GCTGTCTTCTGGAGGACTGGTGGTGATGTTCAGTGTCATGCTCCATTCTCTTCAGCGTGTTGTTTTACCCAGGCTGAGCACGCTCACTCACTCCTAGCAAGCCCTGCAGTGGAAACAGAGGATAGTGATACTGCTCTGGCTCGTTTGGCTGCTGGCTTGAAAGAAGAAAACTGAGAGATAAGAAGAAGAGAACAGGATTCGGTTGGATCAGACCGCTGTGCGTGTCTAATGCTCAGTGAAACCAATCTGAGCTCCACCTGAGCTCTATGCATCTGGTCGGCTCGGTGGAGGGCTGGGAGCATTTCTTTGGCTTGTGGTAAGTTGTGGCTCAGCTCATGTCACAAAAGGAGAGCTGCCTGCTGTTGTCCTAGCTGGCTTTGAGGCTGCAGTTTGCAGGCAAGCAATGTGGCAGAGACTCGTACTGAGGCTGGCAGGTAGGGTGGCTTTTGCTCACAGTGTTGTACTTGCTTGATTCATGAGCAGGAGTTGGTGAAAGCTGGGGGCTGCTGACCCACCTCTTGAAAGTACCCAGCCCTTCTGTAGCTGACTAAAATGTGTTGCACTCGGGACTGTAGTTGCAGGCACATTTGCTTGGAGCAGGCACTTGACACCATAGGAACTGGAGTCAGTGGTGCTTCGCTGCCTGCATCCAGCACTGGTGTTACACTGCATCCGTACTGAGTGACTGCGTGTGATGTCTGGTGGCTGCTACATGGCTGAGCTCCTCACAAAGGAGCACTTGCCCACCTGTCAGATCCGACAGGTCTGCTGGCTTTGTGATATTGGTCCATATGCTGTTGCAGCCAGCCTCCCAGGACTCCTTTCTGCTCTCTTTGCTCGCAGGTCCCTGGCAGAAGCATGCTTTGGTTCAGCTTGTTGCTTGAAGAGAAGACCCTGCCCCGTGCTTTTCCACTTCCTGAAGATCTTTCACGTCTTTTGTCCTCTTAAACCAGCATCTCCTCTGCACTCCATTTCCATTGCTTTTGCAATCTTTGTGTTAACGCTTGCATTCTGATGTAAAGGTAAGAAATAGAGCCTTCCTGCTTCCTGGGCTTCCTCAGACTTGAGGCTGGAGTGCTGTGCCATGCCACCTCTTCTCTTCCTTTCTCACCCCCAACCCCCATCTTTTTTCTCTTATACCTATTAGGATTTTTTTTTGACGGACAGTAAACAACCAAATGTTAACAAGCATCCTGGCTCTGGCCACCACCAAACGGCTGATTTATTGTGGTTCATGTCAAATCAATTGTGCATCCTTTTAAAAATGTACCTACTTTTTATTTTTTATTTTTAGATAATGACTGGTGAATGATAAGCATTAACTTCTTGTAGACTGCAATTTATGAAGGAGGTACATCTGAGGGAGCAGGAGCCTGCCCATTTCCAGGAGTGAGACTAATCTAGGATAATTCTTACTATTAGGAGAAAATTACTCACCTCTTATTGTGAAGTACATAATGGTCATACATTTCCTTTCACCTTCCTCGGTGGCCCAGTGTCCTGCTGCTGCCTAACCAGCGGTTTTGTCTCCAAGAAGAGGAGAGAGGGAACAAAAGACTCGATCTGTGAGAGCTGTGATAGGGGCAGACGTGCATCCCCAGCTGGGTGCAGCGTGCCCTCCCACGAATGGCAGTGAATCTGCTTGGCTACAGATGAGCACTGTAACTTTCCATGGAAACTGGTGCATTGATTCTCTGCCTCTGGCTGCAGGTAATTGCTTTGCCTCTGCAATTATTTGGGGTAACTAGAAGTAGATTGTACAAAGAGTAGTAAAATCCATCAGTGCATCTTCCCCTTTTGTGGTATCTTCCTTTAAGAGTGATTATTTCCTTTTTTTAGCCCAACCTTTGTGCTTTCTGCCCAGCTGATATCTTAGCAGTGTGGCAAAGGAAGGGAAAATGAAAGCTGTGTTCATTTTTACAGCATGCTATCCAGTACAATCCCTGACTGGAACTGCAGTGGGAAAGCAGAATGACTCCAAAATTCACATTTTCTCCCAGCCTGATACAGTTATGGACCATTAGCACAGTGGGTTGGATTCTGAAATAGATGCAGCCAGAAACAGCCAAGTCTGGCTGGCCTAGTGTGGATTAAGGCAGTTTTCTTATGCTCCCTCTTTAATCATTTGATATTTTTTTTCTACATGAAGTGGCACACTCTTGAAATGTGAAAAGAGACAAGGCAGCAGACAGTTTCTGTAATGAAGGTTTATAAAATTGCCACTGATCCATTACTTCAGAAGTACTGTCATGCTGCTATGCTTAATGAAAGATCAGTCAAGTAAACTGTTCCTGGGATTCAACTTAATTACATGCAAGCGACGGAGACTCTGTTATCAAGGTCTAATAAAATATCAGATGGCTGTAATGAAGTCAGTAAGGTGGCAGCTCTAAAGTGAAATGTGCTTGATTAACAATGGAAAGACAGGAGATTTGACCGAGGAGTGTTATAAATTCCATGTTGGTTCTCTACTGTGAGGTGAGAGTCACCACTGCTAAGCTGTACTGCTCAGAAACTTTGGGTTCATTATAGTGCTCATCCTCTAAGGCTAACGGGCCAACAGCTGGAGCACATTTCCTACTGAAGGATTCTTTTAGCCATACTTGGCATATGACAAGTAGGGTGGTTTTTCTTTTGTAATGCTTGCAAAGGAAGCCATTTATCCAGCTGTGTAATTGAAATCAGGAGGTGGCTGTGACTGTCACTAAATACTTTAAGTAAATAAAGATGCTTAAAGTGTTTAGGCTTTGATTTTGACTCATTTAATAAACACTTGGATGTCTTCCTATACATTTTTTAAATATAAATTTTGGATTTCCAATTTAATCAGGAAGGCTTTAAATTAGTTGCTGGGAGAGGGGATCCTCAAACCATCCCACTTTGAGGCCGATGATGGTAATGGATGCCCTGGGCCTGGAGGAGGATCACAGGCCAGTAAGGCAGCACCTAAAGTGCAGGATAAGGGAACTCCAATTGGTAAATCAGCCCCGATGGCAGCCCAACTCAACTGCCTGTACACTAATGCATGGAGCATGGGGAACGAGCAAGAGTAGCTGCAGGTGTGCGTGTGCCTACAGGGCTGTGATGTCATTGGCATCACTGAGATGTGGAGGGGTGGCTCTCGTGATTGGAGCATAGGAATAGATGGGTATAAATTCTTGAGGAAAAACAGGCAGGGCAGAAGGGGAGGAGGTTCAGCCATCTACATCAGTGACCAGCTGAAGTCCATGGAGCTCCTGCCTGTAGCAGGGGGCTTGGAACTAGATGATCTGAAAGGTCCCTTCCAACCCAAACCACCCTATGATTCTGTGGTTTGGATAATAATTTGCCTCCCCACCAGTGCTGCCAGTTTTGTTTGGGGTATTCCAGTTCTATTCACAAACACTGGACTGGTGTGTTGTTTGGGGCACTTGTGCATGCTTCCATCAACGCAGGGCAGCGGGCCATCAGCTGGGGCTTCCCTATGGAGAATAATGCTTCTGGTGTAAGCTGTGAGTAGAATGCCCCCGACACACAGCCTGATGACAGTCTGGCATGTTTGATCAATGCTGCTTTCCATTTGGAAGACACAAGTGGCCATAAATGGGAAGAGAAAAACCTGATTTTCTCCATCTATTGACTTTAAGCTAAAGAGCTGTGCATCAAGCTTTTTATGCTGCTTATCCAGATGTACTGAGAGCTTTCACACTGCTTTTACTTTGTTGTATTTCTATCTCTTCTCCGTGGTGAGAGTGGGATGCTCTGTGCATTTCTTGTACTGATAGCCATGTGCCAGGAAGAGCAGAGCCAGAGCAGCCTGACCAAGGGCAGGCCCAGACTATAGCAGAGAGCAGGACCAGCAGCAGGTGGTGTGGAGCGGGGCAAAGGGATTTCTGACCCTCTGCTCCTGTTCTGGGTGCTTCCTGGCTCTATCCAACACCACCATTTGGGATGACCATTATTACTGCAGTTGGGAACCTCTCCTCTTGCATGGTCAGTGTGAGATGTTTGGATGTGGCTGTGATGCTCCTGCTGGTTGAGTGCTGTGCTGTCTGAGCTCCTGCAGTCAGCTGCTGCTTTGGAAATCCTCTCAGTGCAGGGTGAAGCTTGCAGTTACCACGCAGTGGGATGCTGGAGGGCTGCGCAGCCCCACGCTCCAAACGATGGCAAGTCAGCACTGTGTGCGGTCGTTGTGAGTCAACTCTGAATCGTTGCCGAAGGTGCCTTTTGCAAACAAAATTTGGCGCTCGTTTATCAAGGGCTTGGGTTCGTAACGTGATGTAAAGCACTCAGTCGCACAATGAATCTTTCTGGATCGGAAGAAAACGCTCGTAATGACTTTTTTATCAATAAATACCGTGTTTAAGTGGATGAAATCAACGTACCGGTATTGCTGTGTTTTACCACCGGCAGCGTGCAGCTTTCCTCACTGCCTACGGAGGCTGAGAGGGTTTCCTCAATGTGTTGGTCCTTTTTTCCCTCTCATTTTCTTGTCTTCACAAAGCTGTCAGCGTTTGCTCCGCTCCGCGCGCTCCTCGGACCGGGCACGGACGCGGCGCCCCCCGGGTGACGGCGGACCTCCGGCGGGGCGGGAGCGCGGCGGGGCTGCGGGCGGAGCGGCGCCTCCCCGGGGCGGTACCGGCGGCGGCGGCGGCGGCGCGGAGCCATGGTGAAGATCGGCGTCCAGCAGCCGGCCGCGGCGCTCAAGCCGGAGCAGGAGAAGGAGAAGGCGGCGGGGGGCGATGGGGCGGCGGGCGCCGTGCTGCTGCCCGCGGGCGCCGTGAGTGCGGGGCGGGCGGGGGCTGCGGGCCGGGGACCCCCGAGGGGCTCTTCGCCCTCCTCTTTGCGGCGCTTCGTGAGCGGCGAGCGAAGCGAACTTCGGTGAGGTCCGGTCTGTGCTCGGAGCTCGCGGCCGCTGGAAGGGCTGCCCTGAAAGCGTCGGGATGTGCGGATATCGGCCTGCGTGCCAAAGGGTTGGAAGTTTGGGGAGGTGGGGAAGGGACGGGGCGGGATACGTGCAGTCCTGTACGTGCACTCCTACGTGATCCGTTGGCAGTGTGGACCCGAAGCACCCGAGCACATCCTTTGGTCGGGGTTGTTACTGTGGGGAATGTGGTTTGGGGTTTGGCAGTGGCGGTCAGGTTTCAGCGTGTGACATCTTATAAGGCTCAGGGCTGGCGTGGAGATGAGCAGAGCTGTTGGGCAAGATGAAAAGCTAAGGATGAGAGCACGCATAGCTTCTTTCAGCTGTTCTGCAGTCCCAGTTGACGCACAGAAGCCAAATTTGTTGGGCTGGGCAAGGGCTGGTGGAGGGCAGCGGGTCCCTGTAGTTGGAGCCTGGGGCAGCCCTGGCTGATGCAGGAGGCCAAATGTGCTTCTGCATTCTGAAATGCACGGAGCTGTGTGTGCAGTCTGACCACTTATTGAAACCCAATATCTCCCTGACCCAAACCCTATGGGGAGCTGTGGGTCTGCTCCGTTCCCGCGGCTCCTCAAGGCGTTCCCTCCTACAGGGAGCTCCCCAGAGGGTCGCTCAGCTCATGAGGACACCCCTGTGATCTCCCACGTCACGAGCTGGCATGCTCGCAGCTCTCCTAACTGCACTGTCAGTGTCTGAGCGCTCGGTCTGATATTAATCCAGCTCACAGAAGCCATCCCAGAACCTGCAATGGGGAGCCTGGCTGACTGCGTTTTTGTAGTGATTAGGAGAGAAGCAGCAGTAGGCTTCTTCCTGCCCTGGGAGCAGGGCTCACACCAGACTGTGGTGCTGCCCCCAGCTCACTCCCTGTGATGGGAGCAATGCTGTGGACTCAGGACCTGGCTGCTTCTGATGAGCAGAGTGAGAACAGGGTTAATGGTACTAACACGGGAAGTAAAGGTAGCAGAAGCGTGCTTCCATCATGAGTACTGCCAGATCCCTGCAAGCAAAGTTACCCTGATTCAGGTTGTGACAGATGGAGGAAATTGGCTTAAGCAGCAAACACTTGAATTGCAGAATCGCTAAGGTTGGAAGAGACCATGAAATCACCTGGTCCAACCATCCACCCATCCCCGCTGTGCCTGACCCAATACTGTGGGTTTTGTTCTTTGCCTCCTGCCTCCTGGGGAGCACTGTGTTGTTCTCTTAAGTCCACAGGGTCTACAAAGAAACTTTGAAAAGTTTGTTTAAAATGAAGACTCTAATGATTCCTTTATTCCAGCAGAAGGGCAGGCGAGGGAGACAGTGTAAGTGACAGGAGAGCAGGAGTTGGGTGGAGGTGAGCTGGGGACAGGGGTTGTCAGGGAGCATGCCCACCTATGGGTGGCCTATTCCTGAAGCTATTTTTCAGGTTATTTGTGATGCTGGATTCTTCTGTAATGGCTTTCTAGGTGTAGCTGGTACACATTTGGACCGAGGGGTGTGCTGCCCAAAAAACCTCCAGCCTGGCTCTCTTGCCATGCCAACAGTTCCTGTCTGTGTCTCCTGCTCTAGCTGCCTTGCAGCAAAATCGCATTGGTGACAGGCAAACTAGATGCTCTGCATTCCTTTTCTCTTTGATCCTGCAACTTCAATCCCAGCGATAGGAGCCAGAGCTGGGAAATGATTCAGCAGCAGCTTCTGCAGACTGTGAATTTTGGCAGGTGCTTGGTACATGCAGAGATGTGCAAGTGGAAGATGGCTGCAGTAGTGCTGTGTCCCAGAGAACGGTAGGCAAGGGCTCCTGACAGCAAGCTGGCACGTGATGAGCCTTGTGTTCATCTGCTGTGCAGCTTGGGTAATTGAAAAGAACATACAAGTTAACTTCAGTCAGAAAATTAATGTGAGTTTGAGGCAATAGCAACTTGTTAAGGGCTTATAAAAGAAAGAATCTTGTTGTTAGCAGAAGCTGGGGGATGCAGCATCTTCCTCAGGCAGAAGGCAGTCTGAGGCTGTGCAGTCAGTAACATCATTTGTTGTATTCGTTGGAAAATATCTTCTCAGATGCATAATAGCATTCAGTGAGTTTTAATTGAACTCCAGATTTAGAGTCTGGAATGGAAATGCATATATCTGCCATGCCTTTAATGGCTCTGGGATGTACACTCTGTGCATTTGTGATTCATCGGGTTTCATTAAAGTCTTCTGCTTCACGAGGGGTGAATGATAAGAAACGAGGGGAAGAGCTTCACGGTGCCACCATCTGTGGGGTTTCTCAGTCTCCTCTCTGCCCCAGTGTGCCTTCTGGTGCCTCTGGTTGTCCCTGGCTGCTCTGGTGTATGGGCTGCAGGGATGCTGCCTTGGGGGTGCTTGGAAGGGAGGAAATGGTCTGAACTGAACTGGTAAAAACACCTCAGGACTCCTCCAGGGTCTGCTCCAGTCAGATACAGGACCTGGGTCTCACACTGGACTCCAGGCATTAATATTTCATATTCCAGCTGAACATGACAAGGGATCTGACTAAAACTGGAAGGGGAGATTGAGAGGGAATGGCCAATTCTAGCAGATACAGTACAAATGAGGCTGAATTTGGAACCACGTGGCTCTCCTTCACCCCAGAGATGTGGACTGCAGAGCTGCAGATGTGGAAACCTGAAATCTGCTGGAGAAGCATAGGAGGAAGGTGCAGGAGGACCTGGGCCTCTGTAGCACTGTGTGTGGAAGGAGCTTTGGGCATGGGAAAAACTGGGAGTGGGGGTTGAAACGAGATGATCATTGTGGTCCTTTTCAACCCAGGCCATTCTGTGATTCTATGAAAAACACAGAAAGCCAACAAACGTTGTGGGGGAGGGAAAAGGCATTTTCACTTGTGAGCTGGTGTTTTCTTCCCGGGTCACGTGTGGCATTTACATGCCTACAAGGGAGGACAGTGTGGTAGGGTCTGTGCTTCTGCTTGTTTGCTTAACCCATCCTCTGGATTTGCTTTGCAGAGCTGTCCTGCAGCTGTGGCCCCATGCTGACCTCACATAGAACAGTAAAACAGAGAAGAGTCTCCTCTCTTTTGCTGTTTGCTAAACTACATACTGTCTCTTTGCGATGAATTTTCAAGCAGGGCTGACTCTGACAGGGTTTTCCTATGCTGCTGCAGGAAGAAGAGGTAATCACTGGGCAGTGTATTTTGTATTGGAGCAACTGTGCAGCTTAACATATTTCTGTTCCTGTCTGTTCCATGGGACACACAGCCCTCCAGCTATGTGCTCTGTAAGGACAGCCTTATTTCTGCAGCAGGCTTGGTTGGCTCTGCTAATGCCCTGAGTGGTTTTACTCCCAGGAAATAGAAGGGGGAGGCTGGAAAGCCTCCAGCTGGAAGCTGTTGCACCTCTGCCAAGAGAAATAAAATATATAGAAACGCATTCCTCATCCCTGTGCAAAGAGGGAGAAGAAATGGCCCCTAGCTTCAAAACTGAGATGGGACAGGGAGGAAAGAGGAGGTTTGTGTCCCTCTTGCTGGTTGGGGCGAGGGAAGGGAAGACCGCCGAGCGCCCAGGAGTTCTCATATGCTAGGCTGCTTTTCTAACATCCTGCTGGCTTTGTCAGGTAGCAACAAGGCTGTGGTTTTTAATTAGCCGGCGGTTGTTTTTGATATTCTAATTCGCAGTGCTGCAAAGCGACTCCCGAGGCAGGTGGCTTTGTTCCTAGTCACGTGCGGCCCTGTCGCTTAAAGATGCGATTAGATTCATTTGTGGCAACCTTTTGCCTTCAGCTGTGATAGTCTCTTAATTACAGCCCTCCTTTTTGGCTCCCAGGCATCTCTGGGTCCAAAAGCCGTCGGCTGTTCTCCCTGTGGAAGTGCTGCTCCGTGGCCCTGCATGAGCACCGCTCAAGTATGGCACACAACTTCTGTTGCCTTGGAAACCATGTGCCATATATATATGTATGTGTGTGTATATATATGCGTGCATGCACACATGATTTTCTTTCCTGATCTAAAGTCATAGGAATGGTCATCAGTCTGGAAGGGCCGTCCTGTCCTGCCCCAGGGTGGTGGCTTTGGTGGGATCGCTTGGAGGTGCTCAAAGCCAAGTCCAGCAGGGCTTGCTCAGTACCAGCCTACAGCCCTTTGTCAACACCATGGTGACCAGCTGCCAACTGTGCTTTTTTGCAGGTGAAGTCAATGGGGGTATTGTTTACAGAATCACAGAATGGCCAGGGTTGGAAGGGACCTCAAGGATCATGAATCTCCAACCCCCCTGCCACATGCAGGGCCACCAACCTCCCCATTTAATACCAGATCAGGCTGCCCATGGTCCCATCCAATCTGGGTCTTTTGTTGCTTCAGGTCTTCATGTTCTGTAAAGCAGTATTTGATTTTTACAAGCAATATGGCACTTCATATGCTCAAGATATAGGCCTTGAAATTATTCTCCCTTTCCCATCTTTGCTTTTGGTTGCCAAAAGTAAATATGCAGCAAGATCAATTAGGTTTTCTGATGTGAGTTTCTTACATTTTGATCCTGCTTCCTTAGGAGAGGAAGGCAGGGCTGCCTGTGGCAGTGGCTGTAATTGCATCGGTGCATCCTTCACATCAAGAGCGCAGACAACAAGCACCTCCTGGAGATGGCTGACGTGTTTTACTGCCTTTCAGCTAGAGCTGCTCTCAAAACTGCATCCCTTTGAGTATTTACTCTGTATCATTTCTCTCCTTACTTGTCAGTCATCAAAATCGCATCTATTTTTAGTGGCCCCAAGCTCCTGTGCCGTTGGAGCTGTGCACTTAGGCACTTGCCAAGCTGTGCCCCCTCCTCATAGGCCCTGTGATGTCTAAAATGAAAGATTTGAAACCTTTGTGTTTCATAAACGCAGGAAAAATGGTTGATGGAGAGCTCAACAAATGTATCTTTTAATCAGCAAGATGTGCATGAGCAGATCTGGCTGTAGCTGGATATTACATTATTGTTAAGGATGTATGTGCTTATGCACCCATAGCAAGTTACATAAATACGGAGGGAGAATATCTCAAATCTCAGAGCAGCCGGAGGAGAGAAGACTTTGAGCAAAGCGATGGCTGTGGTGTTTCTCTACCTGTGTAATTAGATGTCATTCAGAAGGAAATGGAGTAGAGAAAACTGATAAGCTCTGAGGAGCTGCCTGCCCTGAGCTGTGTTCCTGGAGGAGCCGCTGTGCTGTTTTGATCTCCTGGCAGCAGCTGACGAAGGGAGGCAGGCAGAGCTGCTTCAAAAGCTGAAGAAGCAGGAAAAGGGCACGCGCTGAGCCTGGCTTTGCTGAGGAGTGCTGTGAATCATGGGGAGCGAGGCAGGACACAGCACCTTTCATTTCTGCACTTTGTCATCTCCAGCAAGACGCCGGTCAGGAAGAGAGATTGAAGCGAAGATCTATTTTTCATAAGGTTAGACTGTGCTGGTAAGACATCTGAAAGATGGCAGCTCATTGGGTTATGGCTAGCAGCTCGCACTGGGGTGTGTTTCCAACGGCCAAGGACCTGCAAGGACTTCTGTATATGTATTTTTAAAGGGTAAGTTCTTCAGAAAGACACAACAGTCCCAGGGGTGGAGTCTGCACTGACCTTGCTTTAAGAAAGTTGCTGGTGTGGATGCGAGGTCTGCGTGCAGGCTGGGGAAGAGCAAGGTGTGCTGCAAGCCAACTGCTGGCACTGGGGAGCCAAAGGCAGCTGGCAGCCTTTGCTCACGGGCTCTCTCCTTCTCTGAGCACAGAGTGCTGGAACCACTGCTGGCCTGGTGGCTCAGACCCTTCCCAACCCCATCTCTGCAGCAGAGCAGTTTCCCTTCACCGTGTCCTCAGAAAGCCTGGAAATTCTTAAGAAAATTCCCAGACGGAATTAGGGCTTTTTTACCCCCCAGGCTGATTTGAAGACTCCTCTACCAGACGCTCTGTAGCATAACTTCTCCTCTCAGCTGGGTACCTCCACCCGCGCTCTGTTCCTGCGCCCTCCCTGTGAGCAGGCATGGTGCTGAAGCATAAGGAATATCCTGTGCTATCCAAGAAAAGGAGTTCCTTTTTATACTCCACAGCCTTGCCTGCTGCCAGGCACTGTGTAGAGCATCTGCAAAAGGATCGTGCCTGCACACTGGAGCTGACTCAGCTCATCTAGGGATCCAGGTTGTGCTGGAGCTGCCTCTGCTTCGCCCAGTGGGATGAAGTGCCTGCAGCACAACGCCAGGTGAGCAGGGGCTCTCCTTGAGACATGGATGCCTTCTATAGTGAGAAAGAGCAAGCCGTGCCTTTCCCACAGGTTGCACAGGGGTAGTTTCTAAATTGCAGTTTGTTCCTAGTGACAAGGTTTGGTGGCCTTCACATGTGGAAGGAAGAGGAGATCTGCATCTCGGTGAAGGTTTGAGCTGCTGGTTTGTACATAATATACCACAGGGCTGGAGTTAATTGTTCCTGCCCAACACCATTGTTAACCTCACCTCCTTCATTGCCACTCCATCAGGAAAGTGGCTGTTGAGCTTTTCCTTCCTCTGTTAGGCTTTGCAGTGTTATTTTTCCAGCTTTTCCTGGTGTATCACAGCTTCCCCAAGGGCAAAGCACTGAGCATCTTCCCCACCTCCTCCCAAATGCAGAGCTTGGGTGGTGTGTTACCAGCACGGGAGCCCAGCACCTTTAGGATGACATTTGCTTGCGGAGCGTTAACCGTTTTTCCAGCCATTCCTCGGTGTCAGCAGCAGCAGAGCTTTGTGTTCATTTCCACCCCCACTGGCTGCACTGCTTCTGCAATGACAGGTACCTGAGGAAATGTGTCTCGTGGAACACTTGACGTACAGCATGACTCTCATTGGAGCTGTTCATGTCAGAGAACCTTTAACTTGTGCAGAATTGCGATTTTCTTTTCTTTGTGGCTTGTCACCATTGCCGCCCCTCATCTGTAGGAGGAGGGGAAGGGGAGAGAGGAGATGAACTTCAAATGCTTTATTTTTCAGCTTGCTTTGTTTGCTGGAGGAGTGGCAACAAGTTGATTAAATGCCAATCCTTCAGCACAAGGAGCTGGCAGTGTGCTGCAGGTCCTCCAAAGCTGGGATGAAGGGGAAATGCATACAGATTAATTTCTGCTGGATGTGTGCTGCAGTTGCGGCTCCACAAAGCTGGTTGGGAGCCTTGGGGTTTCACCCTGGCCAAAAGGCATTCAGATGTGAAGTCAAGTTGCAGGATCATGCCTCTATTCTTCAGTCTCACGCCCCGAGCTCGTGTGTAACCTTTAAATGATATATTGTTGATTTTCTGGTCCCTTTGGCAGCAGCTGGCTGATGCTCTCGCTCTTGCCTCACAGGAGGAGCAGGCTCCCGTGGTGCAGGGCCGCAGGTCATCGCTCAGCGGGGTGTGCTACCTGACCATGGGTCTCCTCGTGCTGCTCCTTGGCTTGGTCTTTGCATCAATGTATGTCTACAGATACTTCTTCATCACGCAGGTATGGGTCAGCTGGGAAGGACGGTTGGCTCCTCAATCTGGAGCAGCAAAGCAAACTGCATCGAGCCTTTGATTTGTGCTCCTGCTTGTTGCTTTGCACAGTGGGGATTTTGGAGCTGGTAACTGTGGGCCATGCAGATGGGGCATGTCTGAAGTGCTGGGCTCAGGCTCGCCTCTGTCCTGACCATCAGGAAGGCTCTTCCAGACATCCTCCTCTTCCCCTCTCGTGTTTTGTTTTGTGTTTGTTTTCTTTTTTTAACTCTTTGAAAATATGACCCGCAAGTTCAGCCTTGTGAACCCGATGTTACCGCTGTCAGTGGTCAACCAGTTTTCAAAGCTTTGCTGGTTGCAGGGCTTCAGCAAGCCCTGAAGAGAGCAGGGGGTACAGGCAAGGCAAAGCAGCATTTTGCAATGGGTTTTTTAGGCTGTAGCGCAGAGAAACTCTGTGAGCACAACAAAAATAGATGCTGCTATTAATAAAGCAAGCAAAGCAAGCTGGAGATGAAATGACAGATGGGCCTACATCCTCTGTTAAATTCAGCACCTTTTCTTCCATGTAGGCTTTGCAGAGCTCTGCCTGGTGAATGCACTGGAACAGCAGCGCTGTGGATTTAAGCAGCATTGGGTCAAAGCTTGGGGAGGGAGACATAACACAGCCCCATTTTAAGGAGGAAATTGCTGTGCTCTGTGGCTTGCTGAGTGCTTCGCCAAGAAACTTCAGTCATCAATTTGCACTGAATACCTCGTTCTGCTGTTCAGCCAGCACTTATCCACTCAGCAGTGTCTTTTTAGACTCTCATTGCTCCGTACATGCTTATGCTGTCAAATTAATTTGCAGTCCTTGTTTTCGGGTGCATCAATTATTTGTTACTTGTGCTCTCATACATCTGATCTGGAAATCCCATGACAACCGTAGGGCTGCTCAGCTCTCCCACACACTGGTGGTAATCCAGTGGGCCCAGGTACAGGGATTTTTGTGCAAACAACTTCGTGCCTCTGGACTGCAGGAGAGCAGCGGCTCCAGTTTTTGTCCTGCTGCATCTGCCACATGCAAGCTATGAGTACCTTTAGAAGTGATGCTTTGCTTGCTCCAAGCCTGTATGCCTTATGGAGAAAAACGCAAGTACTGTAAGCTATGTCTGTGGAACAGCCCAGCTACAAAACATAAGAACCCACAGACAGTTTACCTTTCTGCTGACCCTCTGTGAAATCCCACGGGGCATCCTTTGTTTCCCTTGGATCTGACCAGCAGGAAGGGAGGAGGGGTTGTTTCACAGGGGTGTTTTGAACTGCCTTCGTCAAGAGCATCCTCTAGCCAACAGGCTGAGCTTGACATATGTGCCAAACGCCTGTTCAAAAAGGGTATTTTTACCCAGTTTCTCCTGTGTTGGCTGTAGTTGTTAATGGGGTGTGGGATGTATGTGTGTTGTGCCTCCAGCTGGATCTCATTCCCACAGCTTCCCCGCGAGAGCGTGTTTCACTGCGGCGTCCTTTATGAAGACTCGCTGTATTCGCCGTTCAAGGGGCAGCTGGAACTGCACGAAGATGTCAAGATTTACATCGAGGACAACTATGAGCAAATCAATGTCCCGGTGCCCCAGTTTGGAGGGAGCGACCCTGCGGATATCATCCATGATTTCCAGCGAGTAAGGGGCTCTTGGGTTCTTTGAGAGCATAGCACTGTTGCTGTTGTCCCATATCTGCACAGTGATCTCATTTTTGAGATGTCTTCCCTCTCAGGGCCATGTCTGAGCTTTTCCAACCTGCTCCTTGTGTGTTCCTTAGAGTGGACTGAGGTTGCTTCAGTCTGCAGTGCTTCTGGTTTGCTGAACAGTACTTCTTTCCTGCCCTGCTCGGCCTCCTTTCACCCACATTTACAGCCATGTTTCATTGAGAAGGGCTCAATTTGTTAATTTCTCTGCTTGGAACACAGGGTCTAACAGCTTATCATGACATAACGCTGGATAAATGCTACGTCATTGAGCTGAACACCACTATCGTGATGCCTCCACGCAACCTCTGGGAGCTGCTGGTTAATGTGAAGGTATGGCTGCAGTCCTGCTTTATTTTGTATGCTTTTCTGGGCTCTTGGGAAGCAGAAACAGAAAATGGTGTCTGTAAAAGCGAGCCTTGGACCTGACAGAGCTGAGTTTTCGTGGATAGCAAAGCCTCTGTGGGTTGCAGATGGAACAATCACATTGCAGGCAGCACAGTAATGCAGACATGACAGATGAACCTGACTGGGGCTGCACACAAAAGCAGCGGATCCCTTTCCCCAGGTGTTTACTGAGAGTTGGGAACCAACGGGGGGGAAAAAAAAGCCTTCCTTTTGCTCTTGCTGCTGCATTTTACTTTTGCAGAGCTGTCAGTGCCCCATGGGGAGTACTGGGCCCTCTGCTTTTACCTCTTTGGGGTGTGATCTGGGGCTGCTCCCCCTGCCATGCTGAGGGCTGAAATGCAGCTTTTGATCTAATGCAGTTTTGCTCACAACAGGCATTAATTGGGTTTAGTACTGGCAGTTTTGTTCAGTTCAGAGGCTCATGCTGATGTATTGCAGTGACTGAAAACAACCTTAAAATAGAGCACTATTAAATCTTAACAGCAGGAAAAAAAAAAACAACAGGATTTTTAAGGCTGCAGAAGGTGAAGCAAAGCATTTAGTCTGGCTTTCTTACTCTCTTCCATAAGGGCCTGTTTAAAAGCAAAAAAAACCCAATATAATTCCCTGCAATGTGATGAACTTTGTGGGGTTAAGCTGAGAGGTGAAAAGTTGTGCCCTGAGAGATGCCTGACCTCTGGTCCTTGTCAATCTCCCAGCTTGTTTCCCAGCACTCCTTGCAATCTCATCCACTGCGACCATCTGTTTGCTGTGCTGGGAGCCCTGCTGGGCTACAACACACGTTTATGTACAACTCACTCCAAACCAGGCACTGTGGCAGGTGACCAGTCCCCACAGCAGGGGAAATGGAAAGGAGAGGATTGCGCAGGCTGACGGCAGAGCCTCATTAAAACACTGGCAGAGTGGAGATGCTGGTCACGTCCTCAAATAACAGGTATAAAATCACAGGGAGTGGAAATTATACTTTATCGGAAATGGAATTTAAAGGGAAATAAAAATGTAGTTAAGATGGTTTTATGACTATTATGATCTCAATTCTTTAAAGAGCGTACAAAGCAGACGTGAGTTTAAATAACTTCATGATTATTGGGATGGATAAGTGTCCAGTCTGTCTGTGCAGGTTTTAATGTGCACCTTGGGGACATCGTTTTCGAGTGCTTAGCTTGGTCTTACCGCTCACAGAAGTCTCTCACCATGAGACAGTAGAGCAGGCTGCCCAGAAGTGTGCCCTTCTCTGAAGTACTCCTTGCTAGTCCTTGCTTTTCTCCTCTCAATCCAGTCAAGTTTCTCATGAATGAGACTGATTTCCAGCTGCAGGTTGAGTTTTGAAGGTGTTCGGTGGCTTCAGCCCTACTTCTAGCGCCAAACCTCAGTGCAGCAAGTAATTGTAACTGCTTTTTCTGGTGGCACAGGCACTCAGTGAAGCTTTTGCCCTTTCTTCAGCCTGCTGCCTGCTCGTGGTCTCTGCAGCCTTTAGGTATGGCTGTGCCCAGCCCAGATCTCAGCCTGCTGTATGCCTTACCGGGCCTCCCTGTCTGAGTGCTTTGCCTGCAAAGGGCACCTATGCTGCTTCTTGCAAATTTATGTCTGGCTTTGTGTGACAGTTCGGTGAGCAGAGCTACATGAGTACCTTAGAGTAAAGGATGGAAGGATGCTCCCAGCGTGCAGTCGCAGGAAGCTGGAGATGACCCGGTTAAATGATGGATGATCCACATCTTTTGTAGAACCCGATTAATTTCCCAGTGGAGATGCTGGAAGCTCTAGTTTTCTTAAAACTGTTGGCAGAGAATTGATGGTATCATTTGTTGTGCAGTCCCATGATGGAGGAGCAAGAAATCCTGATTATCTCAGCTCCCACAGCTGTTTAAGTTTAAAACAATGAAAGGACTGGATTGCCTGTGTGTGTGCCTGTAAGCCGTGCCAAGGCTGTGCCAGATCCTGAGCCCAGTCCCCTGTGTTAACATGAGGACTCATGCCTGTAACTGCACATATCGTGTGCCCTCTCCTGTGCTCCCCCACTGAGAATCAGTAATTGAATTTCTTGCAGAACAGTTGTGTCAGTGTAATACAGGGTAATACAGGCTTCTGCTAATAGTCTTGTGCTGCACCATTAAAAGAGAGCTGTATCGATCCGAGAGGCTCCGCCAGCCCGGCAGCACGGAGCTGACTTAATGCAGTGTGTTTCCAGGTACATCTCTGTGGAGATAACCAGTCCTATGGTGGAAATTGAAGAGGTGAAGTTTGAAACTGCTGCTGTTGCTTGCCTTTTCGTCTCATATTGCTCCCTCTTGCAGAATCTGCCGATTCTTTTATTTCTTTGACGTACCTTAGGCAAAAGGCACCAGAAATGAAGCTCTGCTTCATGGCCTAGTAAGCATCCAGTCTGGTTAGAAGTGCCTCCAATCCAAACTGTGCTTGTAGCATGGCTGCTCATCGCCCAGGTAGCCTTCAGGCCCCTCCAAGCTGGATTCCTCACTGCTGAGCAGCTTCCTGCGGCAGGAGCAGTGGCCTCCATCCCCGGGATACTCCCAGTTCCTCCATTTCCTCTCTCCCATTTTTTCCAGTCCCCGGTGGCTCTCTCCTAGCAGCACCTCTCCTTAATAAGAGATCACCGCACTGGTCATGCCTTATTTTGGTGGAAACTGTCATTTCAGAAAGGGACATACCTGCCTCAGACGTACATCATCCAGGAGGAGATGATTGCCACTGAGCACATCAGCGACATGGAGCAGCTCGGCTCCTTCATCTACCGCCTGTGCAGCGGCAAGGAGACCTACAGGCTGAAGCGGAGGAGCACCAGGAGACGTAAGAGCCTCGCAGTGCTCAGCTGCCCCTGCATCCCAGCCCTTATTTCTGCTGTAACAGCCTCAGGGCGAGGTGGGGGGTAAGAAGGGGGGGTTCCCTGCAGGTGGAATCACACAGAGCTCTGGAGGTGTTTCCCGCCTCATTCAGCTGAACCCCAAACATCACTGCAAATGGGTGCTGGCTGCTGCCAGTGTTTCTGTTGTCGCACCTGTTGGGCTAAAACATTAATACAAATACTTGCAGGAGCCTGCAGTTCATTGCACATGGACTCCCGGGGCTGAACTAATAGCTGGGCTATTGGGAACTGTTCAGAAAATTTCCTTAATGCGGACAGTGGCAGCTATTCAGAGCAGATTAAATCTGCAAATTGCCTTAAATTAAGTTCCTAATAATATGAAAACAGTTTTGAGGAGAGAAGATTAGACTACCTTAAACTGATTTCATGAAAAAAAACCAGTATGTATTTTATACACAAATGCTAATGTTGCTGCAATAATAATAACATTAATCTGTTTCAGCAAGTTATCTGTTTATTTTCAAGCCTTATCTGAAACATGAGCCTATTCTTGGTTTGGTTCCCTCGGTGGGATGCTTGGTGCTGAGGGTATCTGGAAGCTGTACGGGGCTGTATGTGCTGCTTTCCCAGAGCAGCCCCCATAGCCCTGTGCAGAGCTGCAGCCCTGGCATGGCCCTGTTTGTCAGCAGGGCACAGCCAGGCCGTATCTGCCTGGTGCTGCTGCCCAGAGATGAGCTCCTGCAGCACAGAGACATGGGGAACAGCTGCTGTTCTCCAGAGAGGCTGAGGCTTTGGCAGCATCAATGTGTGTGCTGATTCAAACAGCCAGCAGGTGATGATTTTAAGCCCACATTGGCTCTGTACCAGCCTATAGTTTCTGCTGGTTTTGTGAGGATTTCTGGTCTCAGAGATAACACTGAGGTGCTGTCAGCTGAAGCCAGCTGCTCCCCTGTAGCTCCCCAGCTCATGCTTACTGCAGAACCAGGGCCGGGCAATGGTGCTGTTCTTCCTAAGATGAAATTATGCCATGTTCTGTATGGGCTGTGTTGTTCCTGCATCTCAGCGTTCAGCAATTGCATCCCTTCTGCTTTCCTTCCCTGACTTGATGCAGCTCTTATAAATGAATGCTGGTTGAATTTTGTCCTTGTCTTTCTCTCTTTTAATCCCTTGCAGGTATCAGTCGACGTGAGGCTGGGGACTGCCACCGTATTCGTCACTTTGAAAACACTTTTGTGGTTGAAACTGTTATCTGCAAAAAGTCATGAAGCCCCTGTCCAGCTGTAACCTTCCATGGCTTTGCTTGCACACACATGCTCTCAGCCCTCTTTTTAGACTTGGCAATCTGTCTTATTTCTTTACTCCCTCTCCTGCTTGTGCAACTCTAAAGCCTCGGGTCTGTCGTGGCCTCGCAGTTGATTCTGTTCTCTTTTCTCTTTACTGAGATGTTTTGCTGGGCTTAAATTTATGCAGCAGTCACAGATGGTGTTGGAGCGGATACAGCCTCTTCCTCCCCACAGGGTGGGGATCTGTTTGAGGAGCAGGTTTTGGGTAGAAGGGATGGCCAACAAGTGGGATGCTGGAAATGGGTGCTCTTCTCCTGTCTGAGCAGTTTCATGCTGGCACTGTTGTGAGGTTGGGGTAGAAGGTATACTACAGGAGGAGAATTACCATTCTGATGCTGATGTAATGACAGAGTATGTCATCAGATGGACTTAAAATTAGATGTGAAGTTACAAAGAGGGTGATTTGGAAAGCTCAGCAGAAGGAGGGTTTCTGCCCACACTGAACTGTGATGCTCACAGTTTGTTGTCCCAATGAAGGCCAAGTTTTCAAACAGTGGAAGCAGCCCGTATGCATTGTTTCTGTGTCTAGCTTCTGGCTGAATTGGAGTGGCATGCCTGGAATCAGCCAGGCTACCCTCCCTCAGCCTTCAGTATAACAAGCAAGTGGTGTCTGCTTGTGGCTCCTGAGCTCATTTGCTGCCGTATTGCCTGAGTAAATAGAGGTGAGCCTTTGATACATGCTGCCAAAGCTCATATCTGATGTCCCATCTATGGGCTGCTGATGGAGCTGGGCGCTTTATTTTCAGCTCACCTCTCCAGACCTGCTCCTGCCTGGAAGATGAGTTTTGTTCACATAGATCTGTCTTTCTGAGTTGTCAGAATCCCATCTGTCTGTGGATGGGTGCCATGCCAGCATGCAAACTGGTATCAGCAGCAGAATCAGTAGTTACTGGCAACTGCAGAAACAGGGTGGCTTGGGTTTTTTTTGTTGCTTGTTTGTTTGTTTTTGAGAGCATATTCCCATAGGACTCCTCTGAAGAAAGCTGTTTTGATCATAATTCCTCTAGCCCAGCTGTGTGTTGTGTCATCTGTAGGCACCGCTGGAGAGCAGGTGTTGATACAAGGCAAGATTCAGTGCATCAATATACTGCAGAGAAACTGTGTGAACAAAATTGTGTTTCTATTGATCATCAGAAAGAAAAATTGCAGGGTAATTAAATATTCTTCCCTCTGTTCCATAAATATAGTTAAAACTAATGAGGTTCTTAAAATGCAGGCAGTTTTTTGACTTGAAAGAACAGCTTGGCACATTCTTGTTAATTGGTTTTCAGCAAATCTGGACTTGTTCATCTGTTGAAATGAGCTTGTTGTTTCAGGAAGAGAAAGGATAAAGTAAATGCAAGAACAGTCATTAACTCAGCAGGACCAAAAAAAAATCAATGTATTTGAGAGTCAAACTTCTATTAGTAGTACTGTGAGCTAATTATATGAAAACAAAACAGTACCTTAAAATGATCACATAATGCAATAGCAATTAGTATGTCCTTGGAAGCCCAGGTTATTATTTTTTTATATAAAAAAAGAGTCAACCATAAACATTAGATCTTAATAGGTAGAGCAGGAGATGCTGATCTCCTGCTTTAAGGTGGATGTGAGATGTCAGATGGCACGTGTTTCATGCAGACCGGTGAGGAAAGTTTCCCACTGCCAGCGGAGTATTTGCTTTTATAGTACAGCTGTGTTTTTCCAACTACAACTTGCTATTAGCCCTAGCCTTTCATCGCAGAGTGAATGATGAGAGTCAGAGTATCGGTTTGCTTGGTGCAAGTATCACAAACTGGTAGATTTAAGCCCTGCATTTCTCTCTGTTTCCGGGCTCCTAAGCCTGCACTCAAGTGAGCGCTCAGACCTTTTCCCTTCCCTCTGATTCTGCATGAATTAACTGGTCATTGAATATGCTAACTCCCTGCAACCCCGCAGCTGTAAGGACAAGCCCTGATTCTTTAAGGTGAACTAATGTGGTTGCTGTTTCATAGGGTGAGAATGCAGTTGTCTAGAAAGAAAATGCTTTGTATATTTTGTCTGGTAGAACTCTTACCTCTTAGGAAACATCCATGGGATAATAAAATCTTTTACCTCTGATACATAAAGTGTGTGTTTGTTCCCAATCAAAACACATTTTTGAATTTACCTCTTCTGTACCTGGGTGCTTTTTCCATTGTTGGGGTTCTGTAGAAGGGATTTGCATTCTACAATCATTTGCCGAAGCCTGTTCTGCAGCTCAAGCTATTAATTTGGGCTGATGTAAAGATGGAAATGGTGGCAGCTTGCAAAGGTGTTTTCTGGAGTCACGTCTGGAAAATCCACTGTTCCTCTGTGTCTGTGCCTCAGGAAATTCCTGCGGCCCTTCCAGAAGAGAGGTCAGTGAGGAAAAAGCTGTGATCTGAGTGGTGCTCTGCCAGGAGATTGCTTACTGGGAAAATCAAAATGTTGTCTTAAAAAGTAAGTGCTGAGGAGATGATTTCAGTGTGCACCTATTAGGACCATCTGTTTCAGTGTTAGTACAAGAAATAGGCATATTCTGACTGTTGATGACCAGTGCCCGGAATATTCTTCGTCATCACTACTGAAGCTTTAGATTTTTAACTAGCTAACCATTTGAAGGGTAATAGAGAGGCAAGATCTGCTGTTACCATGAATTTGAAACTCATCTGTTTTGACTGTGTGTGACTACAGGATTTCAGGATAACTTCTGAACTCAGTCTCCCTGCCGTGGAGCAGGAGCAGCCCGTCCCAACACCCTCAAGCACAGTCCTTGGAATGTGTTGTCTGTGTGTCCCACTGCAGGCTGGGGCATCTTGCTGGGTTGGTGGGAAGTCCCGTGAAGCTTGCCTTGTTGTTTGTACCCAGCCCATGCGGCTCAACAAGAACAGATGTCAGATACCTTCTATTGATGCCAAACTAATCAAAGACTGTTCTAACTCTTGGGCACACTTACATATGTGCCTTAGGATGTCCAAAATTGGGCCCCTTTGCTTCCTGGAGAGTAAGGATACATTGGCTAAACACAGTCTTGTGAATAGCAAAAAATATGCCGTGCTCTTCATTCTGATAAAGGAAGTTGAGGATAGGTTTCAAGGTTGCTGAAAAAATTATCAGTTTCTGTTTGTGACTCCATTTTCAGTCAATTTAAATACGTTATCCACAAAGTTTTGAATGGAATGTATAGTTGCAATCAGACACTCAACTCAAAAATCTGATCGTGTCTCCTCCAGTCATAAAATTCATAGCTAATGGTGGTACCTATGCTGAAAAAGTGTTTTGTATCTGAGAATTTGCTCCATCAAATAATGTTATTGCTCTCTTCGTATTGGTTGTAATCTCCACGGAAGTAAACAGGAGGAATTGTTTTTGGAGCAACCTAGACAATTCCTCTTCATTCAGTGCAGCCCAGGCAAGTCAAAGGGTTGGACACCTATGGCCCTGTGCATCAGATATTTATACTGGCTGGTATTTTACAAAACAAAGCTGACTTCAGGACAGGGTGATACTAGCTGTTGCTTTTCCTGGTGGCTGCAGAACAGCCTCATGTACATAGGAGAGTTCTGCTTCTCTGCACGAGGACCAGACCTGATTGCTCTGAAATGCAGTGGCATCTGACATGCAGTGCCTGCAGGTAAGGCAGTAAGTACTGAGCAGGAATACCAACTGTGTGTCCCTGCCTGCTGCCTTGGGGCTGCTGCTTTCAGCATCTCTACTGTATTCACAATCTTGTTTTAGGCTGTCTTGTTGATATCTTAAATGGGTGGCTTGAAGAATCACGAAGCAGCTGTTTCCTTAAGTTTGCAGAGAATATTTTCTCTGGGAATATTATTATTTATAGGGAATGTGTTTATGCCAGTTCTGATTAACTGTTCTTGCTAGTGCAAAAGAATTCTTCAGTGGAAGCCACGATGTTGTTCAATTCATTTGGATTTATTAATCTGAAAGGCCAAGTATATATAACTTCACAATCGAGCTTTTAGATCTGTTTTTGAGTCCAATTGAAATCATACCATGCAATAGTTGAGATATTCTCATGCTCAGACTAGGGAAAGAAGCTTCAGAAAAGAGGACAACTGATTGAAGCACACTGAAGAAAATTCTCAGAATTCATTGTCTTATAAAGAGATTTCCCCAGGATTTCCCTCTGTGCCCCGTCCATTATTAATGGTGCAACTAATTTTTAATCTTGCTGTTCTGTGGTTTTTGTGCTCCTTTCCTTTCAGGAGGTAAGATAAAGGCTTTGGATCAGGCCCCAGCTGCTTCTCGCTGTTTTCAGATCATGATGCCACAATTGCCTCTGCTCTAATAAAGTCACTCCACGTGGGCCGTTCTCCCTTTTCCATGAATTGAAATGAGTGTGTGTAAAATGCAGAAAAGCAGTCAGAAGCAGAGCTGTGAGTGCTAACACAGCACAGGTGGTCCTAGCTCAGCCTGGGCCCATTTGAGACACAAGACGGGTTTGCAATACGTGTTTCAGACCATCTCTCCCTGGGCATTATAGCAGCTTTTAAAAAAGATTCAATTAAGATGTCAAGGATGTAAATGGTTTCTCTTCCCCCCCCCCTCCACCCCACGACAGTGTTAGCCCATGAAATGGATGAGCAAACAGCAAGCAAAAGCAAACCTCATTCACAACAGCAGGTAACAAGGAACAAACCTGCTGGCCGGGTTGCCGAGTGGGGAGAGGAAGGCATGTTGACTCCATAATGAGGTTTGCAGAGGAAAAGCACTTCACCTTCATTCAGCACTTTGGATGGAGTTGTTTAATCGCACCAAAGGGTAAATATTTGGCATGAATCTCCTTGGCAATCTGAACTCATCCAGCGCTCAGCCTAGCTGTTCCTGCAGCGCTGCCTTTCGTCAGAGCAGGACTTTGTGCTCGCCCATACAAAATCAGCAGGTCTTTAATTCTTCAATTCCCTTCTACCCCACGGTTTTGCATTAACCTCAAGCCGGAGAGCAGGGCCGAGGGCTGCTCAGCTCCTGCACCAGATGGTGTGGGGCTGCCACAGGTGTCCCAAATGGCGATGGGATGGCAGCACACACCTGTGTCCTCGTGCCCAGATCCTCCTCACGTGCAGCTTTTAATCTGCTCCTGTAAGTGTCCCAGTGCTCACCCAAATGTGAAGTAAACAGGGAAGCTCAAAGCAAAAACGGTGGTGTCTCAGGCCACCTCTTTTCCTCGCAGCAACGTGGCTCAGTGCCATGAGGCAAGTGTTTCTGTGCAAAATCTTCACTGGGTGAAGGAAGGCTTTAAAAACACTGCTGTTCTGATGGCAGCTGTTCTTAAATTTTGCAGGTGGGGAGAAAGGAGAGCAATCCCTTGCTGCCTATACACAAAAGAATCCCTCCAGCCACCATGCTGAGGAGCAGCCTGCCCAGGGAACGGCTGCCCAACGGGTAGCAGGGACTCCTTGTGGAAGCAAATCCCAAAGGCAGTGGGGTATGTGGGGAAATATTTGGGTATTGTTCTTTTCTGTTGCTGTTTTGGGGGCGGGAGGGTGTTGATTTTCATGGATTTGTTTGTTTTGTGTCTGAACAAAGCCCTGTGCCAGAGGGCAGCACCAGGAGGCAGCCAGGGCACACAGCCCCCAGCAGCTGCATTGCTTGCTGCCTGGTCACTGCTCTGCCACTTGCCTGTACCTTCTCCTGACATTTTCTCTTTGTGGCAGCCCAAGGGAGGGAGATTTTCCCATCAATTTACTGGACGATTCCTGCACGCTCCCACAGCCACCCCAGTCCCTATGGATCCGTCTCCTGGCACTGGTGCTGCTGCTGAGATCTCCCATGGCAGCTTCCAGAGTGGACACCTGCTGGGGAGAGCTGCTGTTAATTTACCACCCCTCTGCTCTTTGCTTTGATTTGCTTTCCTTCTTGGGTTAATTTTTTCTTAAAGTTTTTATCTCCTTTCACTGTTTAGTAACAGATGTTGGACATCGTCTGTAAGGGTATAAATAGTGACAAATGAATAAGGGTGAAGTGACAAAGAAAAAGCTGAAGCAAACCTGACACCTGCTTTGGGTTGTGTCTACAAACTTCCACCCAGGGCTGCAAAAGCAAAGCCCAAACAGCTCTGAAATTTTGTTTACAGTTTAAAGATTCTCCTGAAAAACCTTCAGCCCTGAAGGATTCCGCTGCTTCACCTCTGACTTTCCTTATTCTCCTCCATTGGTCTTCCTAACAAATACTATGTGTATGAAAGCAGGGCCCTTTTTTTCCTCAAGAACTGGTCTATCCCCTATTAGTTATTCCTTGCTTGGAGCCTGACCACTGGAATCTCTGCAGTGAGCACAATTGGGTGCTCACAATTCAATCATGCCCTCCAGGCTACAATCCTGACTTCATTTCCACAGCTGCTGACTGCGATATAGAACAGGGTTTCTAACATCAGGTGCAGCAGAAGTTGAGGGAATGTGGTTTGCAGTGAGAGTGGGGTGCACTAAAGAAATGGAAGTTTCATCAGTGAATTCCCCCTCCGCTCTCTGTTTGCTCCAGCAGGGAACCTGCACTGTGGTTCTGTTCCACAGAATGGTTTGTCACCTTCTGCAGCCTTGCACTGCCTCTTCTTCATCTCCTTGGGTTTGGGAAACTTGCCTAGCAACACTTTGTTCTGACTTTTGTGCCACATTGGTTACCCACAGACTTTTATAGGAGCCCTCAAACTGATCTGCAAAGATCTTCTGTTCTCCCAGCTCCTTCAGGGTTACCTTCAAGTTTTGCTGCTTTGACGTTTTTTATTTGCCTGGGAAAATAATTTGTGCCCAGACAGTTTTGTCCAAACTTTAATAAGAGAGGGTGACCTACGTGGTGCTGTTCACATCTGTGTTCAAAGGATGTGTAAGCACTGGGTGGGGGCAGGAGTGTAGACCTCATATGACAGATGTGACTGTAAGAATGGTGAAGGACACTGAAAATAAGGTTCTTGAATGTATGCAGATGAATTCTAGAAAAACAGCCCCTTCACCTGAAGCAAATAAGTTAGTTCTCGATATGGGAGTCTGGCTGCCTTGATCTGCAAGCTACACAACCTGAAGTTCAGTGAGTAGGATAGGATTTAGGAGTCCTTGTGCTGTGTGTGATGGCCTAAGGGGTTGGAGGTTTGTGGCAGGCTAGCAGTGAGGGGCAGTGAGAAGTGAGAAAAGCCCAGTAGAGCCCATCCCCATTTAACTTGGAATGGGTGATTGAGTGGGGCACCCCAGAGCATCTCAAGTGGCAGTGAGCATGTCTCACTGTGCAGCAGGGCTCTGCCCCATGACCCTCGCTGGGTAGATGCAGGCAGGAGTTTCTGCAAGAGCCTGAGGTCAGATCAAGGATGTGTACTTCAGAGCTCAGCCTCTTTTGCTTTCTCTCTACTTATATAAAATGGCCTGCATAAACACATTCATTATTAATACTAACTTATTTCACTCTGCATGAGGGAAACAAACCTATCCACAGGGCTTTACAGCTCCACTAGGTCTGGTTTGCAGACAGTCCCATTCATTTGTTTCTGCCCCCTTCTAGTTGGGATGTTTTCAAGCCTATTAGCACAGCTGAAGTCAGACTGGTCTCTGCTGTCTGAAACTTCTCATGCATAAACCTAATTCAAATACTGCCCTTCATTGTCTCAGACACTGGCTGGCCAAGTGGGCCTGGGTTAGGTGTCACTCGGGGAGATGGTTTTGTTATCACAAAGTTAATAATTAACAGGGAATGGTCAGGATTGCATTGATGTGTTCTGAAGTGCAGTCTAACCTGGATTTCCTGGGTTTGTAATGCTTAGTTTCAGGTGAACAACTGACTGGCCACGTTCAGAACTCTAAACTGCTAATATTTGCTCACAGGTATAAAACCAGCTTAATCTTTTGGAACGGAGACAAGGATTAATAGAAATCTGTGGTATATAGCAGACATAAAATTTTACATTCTTTGGTGTTCTTCTTGGGAAATGTTTGTGATCCTTCATAGAACAGCTGTTTGGATTCTTAACAGCAACTGTTTTGTCATGTTAGAAAATGTGGTAAATGTCACCCTTTTGAAGCAGCAATGTACAAAAATTGGAGTAAGGAGAATAAGTGAGATGAGATGATGGATAAACAGAGATGTTGTAGGTGTGCTTTGCCTTTCACAGTATCTAAAATACAGGGAGTCATTGGAGTCTATTGCTAGAAGTTTCTCAGTGGAGGGAAAAGCCTTTGCCTTTCTAGAGAAATCAGTTCCCCTTCACTCTGAAGCTGAGCAAGGCAAGCTGCTGCACTCAACTGAATTGTACTGCTGCACACTGCTCAGTTGCAAATCCAGGAGAAGGCTGCAGAGGTCAGGTGTGAGAGGCAGAGCATCCTCCCACCAATACCAGATGTGTCCAGGGCCGTGTGTCCCTCTGACTCTGTCACAGCAAGGTCAGCAATGGGAGTGCTCCTGTCACTGTGTGGTGTCATTTCTGTATCTTTACAGCACTTTATCTGATAACATCACTATCACCAGTAAATGCGGTCAGTAAGAGAGTATGCAGCAGCTTTGCTGAATGGAGTGTGATTTCTGCCTGTGCCCATTGCAGCACTCCACTTGCAAAGCAAAATAAACTATTTCACACTCCTTCTCTGGGAGGAGGAGCTGCCTCGTGCTGCAGAAATGCAATTGAAATCAGTTTCCCATTATACTAAGGCATTTTTTGCCTTGTGAGGAACTGATACAATCTCTGTTCCTATATTCAGGCGTTATTGGTTAAAGTCAACAACCCCTTTGGTGTCCATTTTAACCGCTGCTAAGTCTTCTGCACCAGCAATGCTTTCTTCTGTTATACATAAACCACGTTTCCAAAAAAAAGTCTGAAATCTCAGTGATAAAACCTCTGTGTCTATTGCAGTGCAGCTAAGGGCAAGCTGTGAACAAGGAGGCGATGAGGATCTGCTGTCTGCTGGCAGGGAAGCTAGCTAGATTTTCTGAATTTACTGAGGGAGGAAATGGAAGATACTGATGTCCGCATCAGGCTTGCATTTCCTTCTTCAGCAACTGCACTTCTTCAGTGTAGATCTCGTACAAAGATGTGGCAACATCATAAACTTTCACTTTCTCCACATGCAAAGTGGAGCTCAAGAGGAAGTCAGTTCTTGGTTTTATGCATAATCCTTCTCACAAATGTACAGAGAAAAGTCAGTGGAGAGGCTGGAATTAGTATCCCTGTCTGGGAGATAATACTGCAAGGATCCAGCTCTACGTGAATATGAACACTAACTGCTTCAGTTGTCATCATTCTCAACCCTGGCAAAGGGACTGGCTGCTACAGAGCAGTGCTGGAGGCAGCAGTGTACTCAGGGCACTGCGTTGCCTCTCTCAGTCCCTCTCTCATTGGGACCACCAATGACAAATGCAGGCTATCTGGATGCCTGTGAGCACTGATAAGAAAGTAACTGATTGGTATGTGAGGCTTCTGTCAGTGGATTTTTTTATTGCCTCGTTTGTTTGGGAAGTGATAGCGCTCATCTTCTTCCAAGGTACAAAAAGTCGTTTGAGGTCCTATGGTGCTGGTTGCTGCTTTGGGGCTTTTACCTTACTTCCCTGTGAATGGGGGGGTTGTCATCTGTTCTCTGCTGCGCTGGGCTCAGGCTTTTTTATTGAATGTCTTGTTTGGTTTGGCTCTGTGCATGAAACTGCTTTTGTAGTTCCAACCAGGAAGGAACCAGTATGTGAAAAGCCTGTAAAAAGAGCTGGCAGGGAAATCTGGAACTCAGTCTATAACACAATGTATGATCAGGGCAGTAGGGGCAACAGGATTTCATCTGAAGCTTTTTGCCATAAACTCCATGTCTCTGCTTCTTTGCAGCCCAGGGCTGTAGTGACTGAAGGTCTGGAGGACTGCAGGTGTGGTGAGGACATTGAAGTGAAAAATGCTACCATTTGTAAGTAAATACTTTTTTTTTTTTTTTTCTTCCCAAAGTAAAAGGGAATCACATCCCAAGAGATATGCATCGCTATTTACAAGAAATAATTTCGATTCTTTTTATCCATAAATGACAGCACAAAGCATTGTGGAAGGGAAGCAAGCTAGGAGCCCTGAAAATAGGCTTAGTTCTGTTCTTTTTATGACATATTTTCACATCTGAGTATTTAAAGTAAATGGTTTAGAAAAGTAGTTCAAGGTCCTGCACTTTTCATGATAGCATCTCCTCTTGCTGGGTAAAGTAACTAACGTTCAGTGTGTGGATCAAATCTTTCCTCTTGGTGCTTTCTCACTTTGTTTTGCAACGAACCTTCTGCAGACTCCTTTAAAACAAAATAATAACAGACCGCATCCAGACAGCAGTTCAGATTAGCCCAGCAAAGGGTGACATGAAGGATGTCCCGTAGCACAGTGTGACAAGGGATGTGCATGATGCCATTTCTCACCAAAAAGTACAGGAAGAACGTCACATGGTAAGGTGTGAAACAGACCAAAAGCGTGACAAAGTTTGTCACTACTACCTTCTCTGCTCTGGTCATATGTGTCTGGGTGTTCCCTGATTTTCTGTGATTTCTCAGACACCTGATGATCTGAATGGTGCAGAAGGCCATGGCCACCATGCTGCCAAAGAAGATCAGCTCCAGGGTGATTATCAGGCCTGTGTTTTCCCACGTGCTTTTGGAGAAGTTGTAGAAGCAGGACGAGATGTTGTAGCTCTCCTCATGAAACTGGGAAGTAGACACAGTCCCAGCCGAGATGCCCAGGCAGATGACAGCACAGACCAGAGCAGCCTTCTTGGTGGAGCGCAGGGCAGGGGCCATGAAAGGGTGCTGGATTGCGATGTAGCGGTCAACGCAGATGCAGAGGGAGATGAGGATGCTGCCATACATATTTATAAAGTAAAGACTCTCCAAGATGGAACAAAACATGGACCCGAATTTCCAGTTGTTCTGGAGGTGATAGGAAACTATTTTAAAAGGAAGAGTGAACAGCAGCAAAGTATCCAGGAAAATAAGGGCTATCAGGTAGACTGTAGATTCTGACAGCTTTTTAGCTGGAAAAAATAGCAACGAGAGGGCCATCACATTGAACAGCAATCCCAGGATAAATGTGGGAGTGTACATGATCAGCTGGAACAGTTCTACTCTGGGGTTGATACTGCTGTTGGTACAGGTGTCATTCATGTCTCCAGGTAAGTATAGAGAAGAAAATCACCTGCACCACAAGGAAGACTGAAGACCACATCTAAAACCTGATGCAAAGGCCAGTGAGGTCTGCAAGTGTCTGCAGACCTGGAGACAGTACTTCTTCTTGGTGTGCTGGCTTCCCAACCTGTAGAGACTAGGTCTTCGGAAGAAAAATGAAACTTAGGAACCCAAACATTTGCTTAAATCAACCAGACTTACCACAGCTGGTAAACTGCTGTCTGCTGCAGAGTGCAGCAAATATGCAGTGGTTTCTTCTCCCTGAGAGAGGATTAAAAATATCAAGGTAGACAGGTCTGTGCAGGGGTCCTGAAGTAATCCTCTGTTAGAAGAAGGCTGGACCCTGCCCTCAGGCTCTCCTGATAAGGGTCAGGAAAGCTCTTATTGGTTTCTGCTGTCAGAATCACTCACAAATCCAAACGCCCAGGGATACTGGTTCTTTCTTGCAGCCAATTCTTTCACAGCAGATTTTGTCTGTAAGTAAACCCTTCTAAAAGTCTTTCTGTTAGAGCTCAGAAACCACCTTCATCTGCCTCCCCGTAACTGTTGTTACTTTTACCTGGTGCTTTTCTTACATGAGTTACTGACACTGATGCTGTTTCATTTTGGATTTGGCAGCCTGTCATTAGGGGGACAGTGCACGTTCCTGTTCTGCAGACCAAGCCGCTTCCCTGGCGTTTCAGAGGTAAGCTCTCTTGCCCTGTAGTTTGAGACAAAGATCAGCACAGTGGAAAAAGAATTCTTGCATAAAAACTAGCAATTATTAGAAAGGAAGAGCAGGTTGGTAGTTTGCTCTGTAAGGACATGCTGATGCCGGGTAAACAGTTCTGTAAGCTCTTGGTTAAATTACAGAAATGAGAAAAACAGCCCCAGAAACTCAGCCTGATGAGGAGAATAGCTGCTGGCATGACTGTGGTCATGTGCTGGGTCAGGTGCAGCTTGCATGCTGCTGGAGCAGGTATGTGTGTCCCCACATCTGGCAGTGCTGCTGGCTGTGCACTCAGTAGCCTCCTTTGCTGCAGAGCACCACAGAGGACACGGGGGCACGGCTTAGCAGTGGGGCAGCAGCCCTGACAGCAGTGCAGCTCTGCTGCTTTATGTGAGAAACTGAGGGAAAAAAAAGAAAATCTCTTATCCAGATACAACAGGACAGGAAAGCCTGAGGTTGGGAAGCACTTGGGGATCCGAGTGGGTGGAAGGGAGAAGCATCCCCAGTGATGCAGCAGGTTGTTCAGTGCCTGGGAGCTCAGCCCTCCTGGGGTTACACTGATGAGATGAAGCTGTGCAGAGGCACTGCACTGAGCAAAATGGTGTCCTGAGCCCACAGCATGCTGCTCTCCTACGGAGTCCCCATCCTTGCATGAAGCATTGCCAGCCCTTTTAATGCTGGGAGGGAACCGATTGCTGACAGCCAGAGGGATGACAAGTTGGTTAAGGAATTCCTGAAAAGTTATCAATATTGAGAAAGTTCTTTGCTGCATTGCCTTTCTAAGAAGATTTCATTAGACCTTTATTTTTCCTTCATTGTTTTTTTTTTTTGTTTTTTTTTTTTTTAAATAACAGTGTGTCAAAGGAAATTGTAGGTGTAGGGAAATAAAGTAAGAAAGTAAAATTTCAGCTCCTTACCCAAAGTTTTACTTGGTACAGGTCTAGTGATGATTAAAAGACATTTCAGTCTAGCTTGATGTATAGATTTCTAAAAAGAGAAGATGCCAAAGGATGGTTTGTTCTTTCTTCAGAAACAAACCAAAAAACCCCAACAAGTAAACATGCTGTGAGCAAAACAGGTGACACAAAGTACATTTAGTTTTCAGATCATGTAGCAAGAAGAAAGCAAGAAGAAAGTTTCTAAGGTCAGATTTCTCTATAACATAATGCTGTATCTTGCCAACTCACCTTTGGGCTATCTCTAGCACTTCTTGTTGACTTGCTCCCTTTGGCTTGTAGAATTCTTGAATCTTGTGTGTTCTTTGAAGGCTGTGGAGTGAGCTGCATGCAAAGAAACAGCCCATGTGGAGGTTAGAATCCATGAAGTGCTGCTGCTTTTTGATTCATCATACACTTCCATTACAGCAACACATCCCTACTCTGTCTACGCATATGTGCTGTGTAGGTGATCTGTCACAAAGCTCATTTGAGGATGTAAATAGTTTGCTTTGTGAGGCTCACATCTCTGTGAGTCACCCATTCAGAGCAGTTTCCATTAACAGAGGAGGAAATTCTGGCCCTGCAGAGCTTTGTGTGACTTCTTTCTACAAGAGCATTGGCTTCTTCAACCTATATCCTGAGCTACTGCTGTCAGTGCCTATTCCTTTTTGTGCTACCAGAAATGAAAAAGAGATCATCAGTTTTCGGTGGTGATTTTTAAATGTTCATTTTGAGTTGGTATTTAAAAAAAATGAAAAAGAAAAAAGGAACAAAGGAAAAAGGTTGCTCTTGCATCTGCTTATACTGCTGAGAAGCAGGGAATTTACCTATGAAGAGTGTCAGGTGCTGACTTTGTTAAGGGAGGAGCAGGAAAACTACTTTTTTTGCCCATTGTATGTGTTTTTGCAATCCCCTTTACTAGAAGGGGAAATAAGGATGATGGGGGTAAATTTGGGGATGTGGGACAGAACCCAGCCACCACAGATCTCCACTCCCTTGTTTGCAGATGTTCTGATACCCAGTGTTCATAAGGATTGCTCACTCATCCCCCTCTGCAGGGATTTCTCCTAGTACTTGTGGAGTTGTTTCTCATTTTCCCTTGGATGCATGTATTCTCATGGCACGTAAGCACTGCCTGCCTCATCAGGGGGTGCACAGAAGTCTGGACAGAAAGCCTCGTGTGACTGCACGTCTGAAGAGGGATGCTCTGAAAAGGAGTGGATGAGGAAGCAGAAATGCTGGGGTTGTTCTCAGCACGCCGTGTTCTAGCCATTGCCAAGGGCTGGGCTGCTTTTTGTCAGCAAATATCCTGGCAAGATTTTTAGGGAGGATTCTGTAGCTGAGTGGCCAGGATGGCATGCAGGTGGTGCAAATTCGCTTGGAGAATGTGGGAAAAAGTGATGCTGCAGGATGACAGCAAAGGGGAAACGAAACAGTGTGAGTAACATATAGAAAGGCTGGGGTACTCCCAGACTGTTGATTAATAGTGCAACTTGTGATGCAGGGGTGAGGAAGCTGCGGGCAGGCAAGGTGCCTTTCTTTTCACACTGTAGGCCTCTATCTTATGCTGATAGGTTGTGATACTTCAGTAGGACCACAAGAGTGGGCGGGCTGCCCCTTGTCTTGCAGTCTGATTGTTTGGCCTGCTGCAATCTTGCACCTCTTTGCACATCACCAATGCCACCAGTGGGCAACGGATCACCTGATGTGTGTGTCACCTCATTGCTTTTTCCTGAAGAAGGAGCTGTTCCACACGCATTTTGACTTGTGTTGAGATCTTTGCCATTTCTCTGTGACCACCACACAGATTTGCCCTTTAGGTCATGCAGGCAGCCCTGGGTGGCAGCAGGTTAGGCTCTGCTGGTTCCTTGTGCTCAGCTTTGGGGCTGACCTTCCCCTAGCTGTGCCAAGCTGCACCGGCCAGCTCAAGGTGCTGGTTATCTAAATTAGAGTCTAATTAGGGAGAAAAATCATTGTTCTACTCAAGAAGAGAGAGCATTCTCTGCTATAGTCCTCTTGCTTTCCTATTTGATTTCCCTCAAATGCCCTTCAACATCTCCAGTTTTCAGTTTCTCACACCTCTCCTCTGCCCTCCTATGTCCCCACCCCTGGATTTTCCCTTTTTCAGAAGGGCTGCTGTAGCTCTGTGCTGGAGAGGAAGCTTTGGGAGCCAGCCAGAAGGGAACAGCAGTGGGGGACACCAAACTGTTTAGCAGATACCTCAACAGACCAATATGCAAATCCTTAGGATGGTCCTGGGGAACCTTCTACTGCTAGAGTGCTTGTCTGGGGTCACCATGAAGAGCTGAGCTCATTTCTGAGCTATTTGGTCCTGCTGGAGGGCTTCAATGAGTGGCACAGGAACAACACCCTTCCCTCCACCCCCCCTGGCTGGAGAAGGCCCAGAGGCTTTTGGAATTTGTTCCTATTCACCCTCAGCCACGGATCACATCCTGGCTCTGGGCCATCACAACATCCCCACAGGACTGCCTGCGACCTCCAGGAGAGCCAGAACTTGGATGCCACGTCCTTCTACCTAAATTCGTTGGCTCTGCCGTCATTTGTTGTTGAGTTGCTCCATCTCGTGGTTGAAGGGGAAATGCAAAGCACAGTTTCAGCCCTGCAACGTTTCGGCCTCTACCTATGGTTGATCACCAGGAGGAACAGTGTGTCCTGTAGCTGAGAGGGCTTACCCCATAATTGTCTTCACCAGCAAAGCACTTGGCTCCCTGCGTTCACTGCGTTTGCTCTGCTGCCCATACCGTGCATGACCAAGGAGTAAAGAGCAAAGGGAAAGCCAAAAGCTCTGCCTTTTGTGTTGGGCTGAGGGGACAAAAGCACAAAAAACAGCTGAAACAACTCTATTGAGTTCAATAGTTATTGAACTCTCAATCAAACAACTTCCTCTATTGAGGAAGCGACCATAAGCACTGCTGGTGAGGCCAGGAAAGTGTTGTGCCAGTGCAGAACTCTGACTCCAAGGGGAGGCCAGCTCACCAGCTTTTAGTGTCCCTTGGAAGGACCCAAAACCTGAAGGAGGAACCTGCAAACCTTGGCCGTGCAGGAGAACCATAACTGTCTCAATGGAGAAGGGTTCTTTCAGTGGTAGAGGAGCTAAATCTGCTGTGTGAGTGAGCAGGTGAGCTGATGTCTCCCTTTGAGGTGGCTTTGAGTTTGTTGAAATAGATGACTCATTTCAATAGAGATATCAGCTGGGGATGCTGTGTGGGGCTCTTGAGGACATGTCAGCTTGTTCTGCTCTCAGCTGCACAGTACCTGCTGCCAGCCTGGAGGGGACCTGTGGGCCGTGCTGCCGCTCTTCCCATTGTATACCTTTGGCTCAGCCCAGTGAGTGTCCAACAGTGCTGGTGTACCCACAGAGGGCCCCCACACCACAGCGTGCCTCTTTCCAGCCAAATGGCTGACTCATTCTGACACCTCAAAGATGGTTTTACACTTTTTTCCTACTCAAGCCCTAACCTACATTTGCCTTCAACTCATACCCAAGTTGGCTATTTAAAAGAATTTCATCCCAGAAAGAGCAGTGAGGCACTGGCACAGCTGATTGATGGGGTCACCATCCCTGGAGGTGTTCAGAGCTGTGGAGACGTGGCACTGAGGGACGTGGGCAGTGGGCATGGTGGGCTGGGGTTCGACTTGAGGATCTTAGAGATTTTTTCTAACCTAAATGACTTTATGATTCTATGATATAACCCCAATCCCTGGCATGACAAAGCAGACACTTCAGCTGTCCTTGTGCAAGGTGGAAAAAAATCAATAACTGATGATGATTGAGGAGCTTTTGCTTTGTTTTTCGTAGAGCCAACATGCACACACAACTGCACGTAGGGGACTGTATAACTGCACCTCCTGTCCAAAAGGCAGCCATGCACATTTTGAGCCATTCAGGCTACTTGTGTGACTGAGGAACTGTGTCCCACCAGCGCACTGCTTGTGGTGACAGGCATCAATCAGCCTCCACATAGCATTTGTTCTCAGTGTTTTCCACACCTCATTTCTGGAGGCGTGTGAACTAGCACAGCGTGTGTGTACAGTGTGTGACAAGTTACTGCAGCCCGGAGGGCCTCAAAAATCATTATGAGAAAATGATTAACTGAGCAAGAACGTAAGAGTCATTGTAGGAAAGAGAAAAAGTGTTTCTAGTAAGATGTCCTATCTTTGAAGCCAGCAGTGGATGTTTAGGGGAAGAATGTCAGAAAGTGGGATCCTGCTGCTGACAGTACTTCCAGCAGCAAGCTGCTCAGTGAATAAGGAAAGGGTGGTCATAGAGCTGTCCTCACTGAGTTCCCCAGGTTACTTTTTTCTTCCTATTTCTCACAGAGTTCTTCTGCTGACAAACATCTATGCAGTGTGTGATATACTTGTGTCTGTTCAGCGGACACGTCTAGCATTTTAGTCTTGAAAGCACAGACATAACCATTTTGTTAGAATTTTAGGAGATCAGTTAGATGTGAATTGTTGAATGATGGCTCTTGTCTTCTGAAGGTGGCAGAGATCTGAGGGCAGCAAAGCTCCAAGTGTGGTTGTGAAAAGATGAATTAGAAAAGTGGTCACAACCATCAGAATGCAATAGCAGTACTTTTCCCTGAATATGCATTGAAGCTGTACTCCCAAGAGTAAAAAATTTTTTGTCATCTTGTTTTTATTTTTAATTCATTCTGCTTTCTCAGAGTTTTGCTGTATTATTTCATTACCCAAACAGTGTGTGAATGCAATTCTCTCTCTTCTGGCTGTGAGCTTGATGTGGCACATGTGATTCTGGTGCTTCACTTTATATCCCATTGATCCAGTGTTACCTCTGCCAAGTACTGTGCTGATGAGGTGTTTGCTGCACCCAGCCAAGCCTTTTTTAGGATGATTTGAATGTCTGCACACATCACAAGGCACCATGACTGCCCTGCAGGATCAGGCACTCAACTCAGGGAGTTTCCATCCGCTCCTAAACGTAACTGTTCTGGTGTCATCCTGGTAACAACAGAGGTGGGATCTGTCGTCTTTTCAACTTTACGCATGGGAAATCATAGCAGAGAAATGCAAAAGGACTTTCCAGAAGTGATACAAAGGAGTGGAGTGCAATTTCCCAAATTGCATATCTGGATATCTTTTTCCTGATGCCAACATTATTTTTAGGCTGTTCCTTCCCAAGGATCAGCTCCCAGGTCAAACAACACTGCATTAATCGCATCTTGGTATTCACACTTCTTTGGGAAGTCCTGTGATGTTCAGAAATGACTGCTGTCTGCCCTTTCATAAGAAGAATTAACTATTCCCAGTTGGTAAGTGCATTTCTTAACTCCGCTGAAGCTATGTGCAACATGCAAAAGAAGTTATGAAGAAAAGATAACGTTTCCTGTCACTACCCATATATGTACACCTTCTCTTAATTCATATGAATTTTTCGGTTTATCTTATTTAATTCCCATAACATTTTATGTGGGGTGAGGCTTCTATGATACAGTTGATGCAGTTACAGTACGTGCTGATTGCAGAAAGGATGAAGAGAAGAATATCTTTCTCTCCCTTTTTTCCGTAGCTGAACTCAGGAAGTGGTGGCCTTCAAGCAGATCTTGTGCCGTTGTAAGAGCGTTGATGGTGTTTGTGCAGCAGCGTAGAGTGGTGGGGTTTGGGGTTGAGTTTTTTTAGGTTCTGCTGCACAGTAATCATTTTTTTCATAGCTTTGGTTGCTAACAGAGAGAAGGTTGTGTGGGATAAAGTCCGTTCGCTTGTTTCAATCACGTTCTGATGAAAAGCAGAGGAGGTCTCTTTGTAGCTTGGTGTCCCTTCTTGTCACTGGCCCTGTTTTGTAGTAGAGTGCAGGCATCTTGGTTGTGTGCTAGCTGTTGAGGCACTCTCTTCTCAAACCAATTACTACAAGTAATGACATGCAGACTCAGAAAGAGAATCCTGAACTTCCAGCTCTATTTTTAACGCCAAACCCTTCAAAAGCCATCAGTTGATGACCTCATGGGCAGCCTGCAGACACTGATGGGAGGACAGCGCTCATCCGCAGGGCACCAGGAGCTGGGACCCAGATGGCGTGTGCTGCCAGGACGTGGTAAGGTGCTTTGAGAGGTGATGGCTGGTTTGTCCCCGTCTTGCCGTCTGGCACAAGAGCTCGTGGAGCTGTGTGGTAAACCAAAGCTGGGGAGCAGCTTTCGGTCTGCCTGAAAAAGCAGCAGGCAGTGTGGTTTGGCAGTGCGAATGATGCCTTTGATGCTGGTTGCCTATAAAACGAGGAACTTGCAAGGTTCAGTGCTTGTGAGGTGATAAATCCAGAAGTGTTTGATTGTCAGATTGCAGAAAAGAATTCTTGAACCACACTCAGGATGTAACTGACTTGACTTAAAAACATTCTTAGAAAAACATGCAGCAAATGGCATGTTTAACTGTCGGAGCACTCGCTGGAACTCGAAGGTTCTCTCAGGAAATATCCTGCAACATAAGTGGTTTTAAGGGAAGCAACTCTTCCCAGTGCCCTTCATTCATCATTTTGTTTTAGTCTATTGAATCTCAGTAAGTTCTTGGCTTTGAGAAACAACAACAACAAAAAAGAAATGTCAGAAGTTTTTGATTTTCATGTTGTGGAAGTGGTGGTTTTCTCTATCACGTTTGTAAGTAAAGGCTCTCCATGTTGTTGCTTAGGTTGATATTCGTTTGGGTTTTTTTGTGCTCATAATTATTCAGTAAGGCAAAACCTTTTACAATATTTTTTTGACCACTTAAGGACTTTGATGGCCCTTCCACTCCCTGGTGTGGCACATATTGCACAACAGGACATCGTTACAGATGTGCATCCCAATCTCTGCTCTGCGTCTCTGACCTCTATGCATGCTGAATGGCTGTCCCATTGCCCCTTTGGTTCAGTTTTGTCTTGGATCTGCCTTCTCTGTTGTTTGTGGTCTAGTTACTAAAGATACGTAGCTTGCTCCAAAAGTAATGACTCCCTTTTATTTCTATGGAAGCTACAGTGGATATAAAGAGTACAGTAACACTATTTGGTAGCGTAAATTCTTGGCTGCAAAACACTTTTTTTCAATATCGTCACCACCAGCAGCTTATGCCTTTTCACCAGCAGTGAACAAAAGCCTGCATGCCATGCTTGTAAACTTCTATACTAGCAGAGGTGACCCACTGTTTCACAGCTGCTATGACAGCATCACTGCTGAAACTCATCACCCACCCTTCACTGTGCTCACATCCACTTCTTGGTCTCCAGAAACATTCAGCAAGCATCACTGAATGTCAGTAAGTGCCACTTTTTCCCGCATGGATGAATTCATTTCCATCTCTTTGCCTCATATGTGCTTCCATGTCAGATGCCATTTTGTCAGACTGCCCCTGTCTGTCACACAGCAACAGAACATAACGGGATGTTGGTGGGAAGGCTTAACCTCTGCTGCCATACCACCAACATCTGCCTCTGATGTTGTGGGCTAACATCATAAAATAGGAGGCATTATTTTTGGAGCAGCCCTTGTATATATAAAAAAGAAGAAAGGAGAAAAAAAAAAAAAAGTATGAATTTATGAATTTTCATGGTCAGTAAAACTTCCCAGTGAGTCAGCTGAAATTTTGGAGATTTTGCTTGACTGCTAATATTGCACTCTTAAGACTTCCCGTACTTATTAATTTTTAGTGAAATCATCTTCATTTGTATAAAAAGAGCCCTGATGAAGTTGTTACAAACATTTATCAGGCCACATCCTTTTCCTGTTGTTTTCCTGGTAAGCAGTTTTAAAGGCAAGTATTTAAACGTTTTAGCGTAAAAATGCTCTGGTATTGAACATTTCTTTGTAAATAACCACAACCACCAATGTAAGAGCATCTAGGACTGTAGCTTTGATGCTTACTTAGCAGTCCGGTTTGTGATCTGAGTAAAGGGGAAGAGGAAAAAAGTCTTCGATTTATTAATTATTACTATTATTTTTAACCCCAGGTTTTATTAAAAACAAATTTCATCCTCTTACTTTGGCTCAGCTTTTGCAGTGCTGACTCCTGGTTCTTCTGCATAAATTGTTCCAGGATCCAGAATACCATTTCCTCCGATCCTCTCTCACTAACTTAAGAAGAGTACATTAGATCAGATTGGAGATGATGATGAGTCTAAGCTTCTAAAACTGAACATTATTAGAGTCTATATAGGGCCTGTAACATTTCAGCCCATCATAAATGTGTTCCCCACCAGTAGGAGAAGAGGAATGATCCTGAACTGAACATCTGTATTACGTGCTTCCCTCTTCTTTAACCTGTTTATTAACTAAGACATATTGACTGTTCTGTGTAGGAGAACTCCTGCCTACGGTTCTGGATTAGAAAATGCACATTTGGAGGAGAATCCTTAAATGTAACTCCCCTAGAAACAAATGGATACAGTATATGACTGACGATTACCCCTGTTCGGACCAGCAGCTTCCACACCAAAATCCAAGGTACCACTGGCAGAGGTATGTGATGCTCTTGTAAACCTATTTGTATTTGTTAACTTGGTGCTAGTTATACCATGACCCTTCGTTTTATAAATGCTGAATCTGCAAAGCAATGTGAGCTGGGTGGTCTGCTGCTCTCCTGTGCACCCAGACTGTGCCGTGCTGCTGGAGGAGCTCCTGGGGGGACTGGGAGGGTCTGGGCACTGCTGAGCCTCCTGGCAAGAAGGAAACCCAGACTGATGTTTCATGCTGTTTTCATGTCATGCAGCAGTCATTTCATTAGCCCCAGTTCTCACCATATTCTCCACCCCCAGATGTAAACAGACCTTAACTCTCCCGACTCACAGAATGAGAAGGAAGGTGACTCAGTCCCATACCTTCCAATATACAGAAAAAAGCAGCTTTTTCTCACTGCTGAGGGAAATCTGGGGCAAGTTCCATGAATAGTCTGAGCTGTGGCTTTCTAGCAAGTGTCAAACCCAGAAAGCCCCATTGGCAGGCAGCTCTGTGAATGAGCAGTGCTGGTGGAAAGAGACCAGCTCCCCATGGCTGCCTGCCCTGGTCTGCTGGCCCAGGCACAGCAAGGTGCACCCACTGCTCCCAACAGCCTGTGGGGAGGGCAGCATCCTGCCTGTCTGCTGCTGGTGCCTGAGACTGAGCTGTGACTTTGTTCCAGCTGGCTGAAATAGCTGGCGGCTTTGACCTTGCTAGATGATGTCTGCACTTACATCTTAGGGCCAGTCTTTGAGTTTCTGAGTTCTAGCAATAATTAAAAAATGGGAAAAAGTGCTCGGCCTTGTTGACAGCCACTCTTTAAACAAACAAACAAAACCCACAAAACTAACAGGAACAAACCCCCACAATTATTTTTAAAAGACTCGAGGAATGACAGCAGGTGGAAATCCATTTGGAAGCCCTGGCACCTCCTGCCAGTGTAACAGTGGTATTGGGGTAGTTGCACAGCTCACTGAAGCTCGTGGGCACGCTCTGCACCTTTCAGTCAAACAAATTTGCCAATTGTGCCTTTTTCAGCAATGCTTAAAAAAACAAGAATCCAAAGAACAGGCTGCTGCTGCTGAGCCCCTTGGGTGGGTGCAAACTCTGAAAATGGTTGAGGTTGGCATAGTATCAGCCACACTGAGCTCTCATTCCTCTTAAAATACTTCTGTTCTTGGAACTGAAAAGCGTTCCACCCACCTGTGGGTGGATTGGATGCAAACAGAGTGGAAGGGCTCTGGTCACAGCTCTTGATTTATACAGGGGTCAAATAAGAGGCAGCACACAGCAGAAAGCCAACAGGCAGCAGCTTGAAAGCAGGAGTCAAAATTAATCGTGGCTGCATGACTAGGGGTATTTCAAGGACAGAAAACTGAAGGAAGAGCTCGCTAAGGGCTGAAGGAAAGGAAGTGGCTCCTTGCTATTTCCTACCTGCTGGGCGCTGGGAGACAGAATGCAGTGTATGTTCTTTAAAGGTGCGTGTGTGTGTGTGTGTATATATATATGCTTATATATACACACATAACTGAACTAGACTGAAATCTGTGAGTGACGACTCTCAAAGCATTTGTTTGTGCTCTAAGTGAGTAATGGTGTAAGACAGAACAGCCACTCGCTTTTAGCATGAGCGTGGAGAGGGAACATGTGCTGTTTCTCGCATGCTGTCAGCATCAGTGTCAGTGATGTCTGACTGCAGCGCTGCCTTCGGTCCCTGTGTGTGCCCACAAAACTGCAGTCAAATTGGCTTTTACACAGCTCAGCCAGCACTAAGTTTGAGAGTGCTGTAATAAATAAGAAATGATCCTGGAGAACTACCCAAACTGAATTACCAGCACTGAAACTCAAAAAAAAGAAAAAAAAAAAAAAAAAAAAAAAAAAAAAAAGGAGAAAGAAAGAACTGAAGGGTTTGCTGTACAAATCAGGCAAATATGATTTAGCTTCGTTCAGAAAAGTCTGCAACTCCAAATGAGTCATGCTGCCTACTTTTCGGAAAAAGATTTAATTCTCAGGGTGTCTGTGCATTTCTGTTACCTGCTACAGAAACCTAAAGGGAAATAGGTCTGAAGGTGTTAACGCTTTATTGAGCTTAGTGTTACATAAAACAACAACACACAACAGACCACACTTGCCGTAGTTTGGTTTTGGCATTTTAGCCTATCCTTTACCTCCCACTGTTTCAAAGAATTCATGCCACACATGGTTGACTTTGCAGCGTGGTCTAGCTCCGTAGGTTAGAAGTGGAAAGCTGGAGGTCTACACAGTTCTCTTTGCAGCCAGAGCTGTAATGTGCTGGGCATGCTTCAGCATGATAGAATCCTAGCATCGTTTGAGTTGGAAGGAACCTTGAAAGGCCATGTCGTCCAACTCTCCTGCAGTAAACAGGAACACTGATCAGGGTGCTCAAATGTGGTGCAGTAGAAAAGGGGAGATAATTTTGAAAGAAATCCTTGCAGTTATTTTGATGGTTTTAATGCTGTTTCGGTATTTCTTTTCAACTGCCAGAGGAACTGCTTTCCTTCTAGAAAGTGAGCCTTGCTTTCATGGGGCTGGAGTTCTTTGCTTTTGGAAAAGACATGGTGTGGGAGGAGAGAAAAGCCCCCGCTCTGCAAAAGGTTCCAAGTGCAGAGATAGCCTGAGGTGTCAGGATCTGTATGTATCACACACATTTATACAGTTCCAAGAAATACTGGGAACAGTTCCCCAGCCAATGTAATCCTGAGCAAAGGGGAGAATGACTGTAGTGCAAAGTTAGGTTATTTGTAAACAAACAAATCAATGGTTTGAGAAAAGCACCAAAATTTTCCCTTTCTCCAACAAGATCAGGCATCAGTAGATTTAATATAGATCCTTATAACTGCCTGTTTGAGCTCTTCTCAGCCTACAAGCGGAGTTGTACACGGCCTCCTTTTCAGGGCTCAGCATCTGCTGTAATTATGGGGCACCAGAGATGCTTCCTAAGTAGCAGTACGGTTTCATCTGCAGGATACAGATGTGCAGGTCTCACAGAGGCAGTGTACCTCTGAGATGTGATCTGGGAGCCAGGTGTCCTATAAGCCTTCTGTCCTTGGGCAGGAGAGACTGGAGTTTGTTGAGGGCAATCCAGATATTAACCATTTCAATTGCTCACTTGAGATGCCGGAAGCTCTTCACTGATGGCGAAGTGAGCTTCAGCAGTTCCTTGGCATTTCAGTCAGTCAGGTCATACAGCTGCTGGGAGGACCACTGGCGAATCAGATGGTGATGCTGAGCCCTGGCAGTGCTGCGGAAAGCAGAAATTAACCTTAGTTTCATTTCAGAACATTGTACAAAAGATAAAATAGCTGTACATGTTTTTACACATGTCTCATGTGACTGGACAACATACAGCCTTTTTCTGTTCTCCCTCCTGCCTTCGACTGGACGTTCTCATGTGTTTTCTTCAAAGCTGTGCTTTTTCTCTTTGATCTTGTGTGATCTTAACACGGCAATCATGAGTGTGAATGCGGTCGTTTGCGGTTTCTAGAACAGCAACATGGTTTTACCCAAAGTAAATGCGGCCTTTCTCAGAACGGAGATTAACTGTGGAACAAGGTCCTTCACTTGCATACAAGTGCACTTTGCCAGGGTTTGGGAAATTTGACAAAAGCAGCAGTGGACCGAGGCTCCAAAACCGAACACAAAGGAGCAGTTTTCCCATCGTGTTTTTTTTAGCATTGAAATCTGCTTATCACAAGGCTGTTGCACTTCACCAAGTACAGGAGAAAGCAGGTCATTTTTCAAACCTTTCCTAAAGCTCCTAGCTTACAAGCAGCCTCATGCCCTCTGTGCATCAGGTGGGTACAGGACCAGCAGTATGCCGTGAGGCAGCGCCTGTTGGCAGGATGGGAGCTCTTGTCCTGCAGATCTCTCTCACCCTATGGGCAGCTCTGGGGCTGGGGCCCAAAACAGTGCCTCAGGAGTGCTTGAAGAAGTGATGAGCTGGAGCGAGAGGAAGCACATGGCAGGACGTGGTTGCTCCCAAACACCTGCTTGTTGAGTGAACTTTGAGACTTGCCACAAAGTCTGCAGATGTGCCCAGTCTCCCCACAGTGCTGCCACTGAAGTCAAAAAGTAAGCACACAGCTTTCCGTGTAGGTGGTGTATAAAGCAACAGATCACGATGCAGAGGAAGTGCCAGATGCTGGGGGAAGCTTTTTGCTGTTTGGCAGGTGGCATAACTTAGTGTGGGTGGTACTCTGCTGCCTGGCCTGGCTGTGTGCAGTCCTCAGTGGCAAGCCCTCATCCTGGGACTGGGTGCTTGGAAGAGCAGTGACACTTACGGCCTGTTAGCAAGGCAAAAAATGGCAGTGATTTAATAATACTAAACAAAAAAATCCATGGTTCTTGCATCCATTTTGCTCTGGTGATCCCTGTGTCATGCAGCATACTGCAGTGACAGTTGCTGGCATTTCTTTTTACTTACTAGATATTTAAAAGTGAAATGCGCAAGAGCAGATTTTCAGCCAGAGTCCAAGGCAACAAGTCATGCAGCTCTGGGCATGGTTTGACATGGGTTTGGGCCGTGCTGGCTGCTCAGCCCCTGCCCACTGCCTCACCGCACTGCTTCCCGTGCAGCCGGTGCTGCTGCAAGCACTGTGTGCTGTGGGGTGACGTTCTGACTTCCTCAGATGAAAGACACTGTAGAACTTCAACTATTCTTTGTCTGATGATGCGTGCTTCACTGCAGACACTTGCTTTAATCTACGTGTTGGCCAGATGTTAAAAAGGTAATTGGAAGATTGAGAAAGACCTCTAAGATCCCCAAGTCCAACCCCACCCCACCGTGCCCACTGCCCCCATCCCTCAGTGCCACATCTCCACAGCTCTGAACACCTCCCGAGATGGTGACTCCACCTCCACAACTGGTGCAGCTGTGCCAGTGCCTCACTGCTCTTTCTGAGGAGAATTTTTTCCTAATATCTAATAATCCTGGCCCCACAGCCTACAGTTTTGCTGCTTTCTGAATCAGTCATTGCAGCTGCAGAAGCACAGCCTATGCACGG